AAAAAAAAAAAGAGAAAGAAAAAAGAAAAGAAGAGAGGGGGAGAGAACTTTATTCTTGATGTTTAGCATATTTGAGCAGCGCGTGCCATTTGTTTTAATATACCTATGTTTAGATTCCTACTAGATGTCTAATATTTGTTTTAAGCTCTGTGCTATCTTGTTAAAATATTTTTCTTTTATTCCTTATACCAGTATGAGTGTTCTTTGTGTTCCCCCTTATTATATCTGTCTTTTATAGGTGCCTAGTTTTTTAAAATTATTATTGGATAAAAGTTAGATGATAGTAGAACAGTTTCTGTTTTTGAGGAGATGCACATATGCTTCTACTTTTTTTAACGCTAATTTAAATTGTTTCATATTTATTGTGCTTGGGGTCAATTTTTTGTCGTTATATTATTTGGGTATTTGAGCGAAGAGTTAATGGAGGTTTTTTTGTGCAGAGTTTGTGCTTTTGCTTGAATTTTTTTAGGAGACATGACTAGTGCTTAGGGCGTTCAAAATTGCCAGTAATATCTTTAAAAATCTAAATTTTCTGTCTGAAAATTCTTTTCCAACATTCTTTTGAAAACTTCTTGCTTTCATGTAATAAAAGTTTCTCTTTTGAAGTATCAGTTATTCAGCAAAAGCTTTCAACAATGTTGACGTATAAGTAGTTTAATGGAAAAATTATTGAAATATTTTTTGGTCAGTGCGGTTCTTGTCACATTTTTATTCATGCGTTGAGTTTGTAAATATATTATTTTTCATAGTTAGGGCTGTATTGTTTTAGGGGAGATATTTGAGTAAGATGACAGATCAGAGCAGTGCTTCTAAAAGTAACGAAACTAAGAAGGAGGGGGCTGAGAAGCTGGAACAGGAAGCTGACGGAGTAGGAGCAAGCGATGTTACTAAACCGGAAATTAAAGTAAGACCTCCAACTGCCAATTCTGGACAGAATAGAAAGGAGGACAACGGACTGGTTGATTTCTGCTACAAAAATTTTACCAGTTTCAGAAGCGCTATTGATGGCATTCTTGGAGGTTAGTAAGCTTGGTTATTACTGCGGTTTAGAAGATGTTTTACAAGTTGTTTACTCAAAACTTGGGGTAAAAGGCTGTTTTGAAAGTGTATTAAAGTGAACCTTTTAAAGCACAGCATGTACTGGTGACTGCTGTTGCAGGAGTTTGCTGCCACAACTGTCGAAGAAGTTTGTTTTTTTAATCTCTGTTTTTGGAATTTCATCATATGTTAACTTTCGTTAGTATTCTCAAATTTGTTCAGGAGTGGAAGTTTCTTTTATTTAAACGTTTTGTCTATTCAGTTTTGCCGCAACATGTACAGTTTAAAAATATATCTTTTCACTGTTTTTGAAGTTATATTTTAGCGAAGCAAGAAGAGAAGCAAGTTTTATCTTCACTGGACATTGAAGGCGTTGCCGAATTGATTCGTGAGAACAAGGCTAACAGAGTGATCGTTATGTGTGGTGCGGGGATTTCAACTTCTGCTGGTATTCCCGACTTTCGAAGCCCTGGTAACTGCTTTTTTTTTATTGTCGCATAAATTAATCGATATGATAAGAAGGGAGTGAGGAATATAAGATGTGGTTGCAAATCACTGGTGAACACATTCTTTTTTGGTTGCTTTGTGACCTCAGCTTCAATGATTATAAGTTTCAAATATTTGGAGAAGAAACCTTGTTGGTCAGCCGTTGCTTTAAGATCTTTGATTTTTTGAAATGCAGATCGAGTTTTGGATATAGTGGCAGTCTTAATTGGGTTTTATTACTAACAAATATTTTTTCATTTACTTTTTTAAAATTATCATTATCACGGCTTGTTACGTGCTGCACATATAGCTGAAGCCAGGTCTGTTTTAAAAGTTCATGTCAGTTTAGGAAGTGGATTATATGACAACCTTGCGGAATATAATCTTCCAGATCCTCTGGCCGTGTTTGACATCAATTTTTTTCGTCAGAAACCTGAACCTTTCTTTGCTGTAGCTCGAAAATTGTTTCCAGAAAATTTAAAGGTCTTTTTTGGCAACAAATAAAGAACTTTCAAGAACAATTTTCAATTAAAACTAGTCGTACGTTCATTCTCTCAGCTCAACTATTTTGTTGTTATATGGCAGATGAACTAGATGTGTGATTTCAGCCCACGCCGTGTCATTACTTTATTCGTTTATTAGATCAAAAAGGTGTTCTAAGGAGGTGTTTCACTCAGGTCAGATATGTGAAAATGGTTACATTCTCTTAAATATCAACGACATAGTTTTCAGTTTCTTTTTTTTATCAGTTTTGCGAGTTTTCACCACTCTTTTAGATCAGTAATCTTTTTTTATGTTTTTAGAATATAGATTCATTAGAATATGTTTCTGGTTTGTCGCCAGAAAGAATCGTCACAGCCCATGGCTCATACCATACTGGTAGGTGTCTCAGTTGCAACAAAAAGTATACACTTGAGTGGATGCGAGGTGAGGAGTTTCATTCACTTTTCATAGACATAACCGCAGTTCTTAATAGTTACTTTTACGTTTCACTATTTGTCGCATATTTTTCGATTTCTAATTGGCCCCGTCTTAAAAACTTTCTACAGTAATTTCCAGTTGAATAAAATTTAAGGATTTTGGTTCGAAAAAGTTTCTTCACTGTATTTCATTTGAATCAATGAATGATAAACATAAATTTGTGTGAAATTACATTGGATTTGTCTATTTCAGCTAGACTTTATGATGACAACTGTAAAGTTTTTCGGTGCGATAGTTGTAAGGGTATTGTTAAGCCAGATATTGTGTTCTTTGGGGAAAATTTACCAGGGCGCTTCTTCAGATGTGCGGCTACCGTAAGTTGAATAGTTATTCAATGATTTTCTTTTCTAGGGTGCCTGGGGAAACCTGTTTACTTTCCGAGTTGTAAATCTGGTTATACAAAGAAATATTTCAATTAAGGTGTTTAAAAGTGTGGCTTTATAGATTCTTTTGAGTTTCAGTTAGGATTTCAAGTATTCTCGTTCTTTATGGCTGTTTAATTAATTTAGGAATTATGATATCATTAAATTTTTTTAATTTTTTATTGATTACTGTTACTGGCATAATTGCGTGTTTTCGAAATTTCATTAGAGTCGTTTTGAGTTTAACTGTGCAGTACATTTTAGTAGCATAAAGTTCATAGATTTGCCTAACATCTTTTTCATAAAACAGTATGGCAGTTATTCGTTTACAATCATATTGTTTAGAAATCGGTGGTGGGCGGGAAAGCTTCATTTTCTAAGTTAGGATTTTGATCAAAAAATACTTTTTTTTTACGTGTTTGCTTAATAGTCGTTGTTTTGTGGTTGTTCTTTAATTGAAAGAGATCCATTGTTTCTTCTCTTGTTATAACTTCTTTCTAACTTCAAGTAAAATTCTTAGTCCTTTCACTCCTTGGTTGTTTTTAGCAGCTTATGTTTTTGGAAAATGTTGAGCTGTGTAGAACGGTGTGTCTGTTTCTAAGAGGATGAGGGTCTCAAGTTTTGTAAGTTGAAAAAAAAGAGATATATTTGTATAGTTCTTTTTGTCTGGAGTTTGTGGGATGGTGAGGGCTGAGCAACAGAAACCTCCAAATTTGAATGGCAAGTAAATTTGTTTTTTGCATGCTGATTCAAAAATTATCCCTTTAATTCAATGTAATTTTTCACTGAATACTTGCAGTCAGCAGAAAGATCAGTGTCGCAGGTTTAGATAGATTTCAGCATTGTATGTTGAGATTTATCTTTATTACGAAGTTAAAATGCAAAGAAGTTTTTTGAAGTGAACTTTCATTTTCTTTTTTTTTTTTTT